AAGAGCGAGAAGAAGGGTCTCAGTTAAGAAGCGGGGGCGGTGCGTTTAGAGGGGTGGAGGGCTTGTTTGTTGTGGCGTTGTTGGTTGTGCTGCCGGGTATGGAAGACAAAGGATGGTAGTGGGCAACTGCGCGAGTGGCGCGCCCCAGTTGTAGGGCTTGTCATCCTGTGGCGTGGTGAAGGGCCGCGTAGAGAGGCGGATCGTTTTGGAGCGAGCAAGCCACCTGCGCGACGCGGTGGTGGCGGTGGTGGGATGGGGGGGTTCGTGGTCATCGTCCTCCTCTGCGAGCAGGTCCGTGTGCATGCGCCGGAGCAGCGAGGTGGTGATGGCGAGCAGCTCGCGGTGGATCTCGGAGGGGTGGTTGAGCCCCCGGTACGAGTCCTCGATGCTGATCTGGGTGGGGACGTCACGGGCCGGCTTGACGTCGGTGTCGTCTACGCCGTGGAGCAGGGCCCATACTTTGGGGCCGAGGCCTTTCTCGGAGCCCGGTCCGGAGAGGAGCCGGGAGAGGGTTGCCGGGGCGATGCCGGGGTGGGTTCGGACCTGGCCTACGGTGGTCGAACACTCCATCGAGTGCGTGTCTGGCTCCGGTTCCTTGCCGAGGACAAAGCCTTCCAGCACGCGGGTCGTCTTGGAGCCGATCCCGGGGACCTTACGGAGGCTGTGCTCGTCCATGAAGGAGACGACATCTTCTTGGCATAGGGCAAGGAGCACTGTCTGATTCTGCGGCTTATTCTTGTCACCAACTAGTTTCGCGAGCAGTTTGTTGGTGGATATCCCGCACGCGCTGGTGTACCCCTCCGCCTCGATCTTCAATCTGAGATATCTGGCCAGGTGAGACGCCACCAAAAGGCGCACGCACAAGGCATTCTCGTAAGATGGTACGCCATCGCCGCCGAACACGCACCCGGCAAAGCACGTGGCATCATACTCGAATCCGACCTCCGGGTCTGACCGAGACAGACAAAAATAGGACTGGCGCAGGGAGTTTTTGTTCAATAGCTCGACATTGTACGAGACAATGTCGGTGACATCTAGGAATACCTCATCAAGCCCCAGACGCTCGACCTTGCCGTTCCACGAGTAAGACCGAAGCAGAGCGTGCAAGCGCTTGGACACGTCGCGGAAGGGAGACAGGTCCTCGCCGTCGGCCAGCACAAGGTCTGGACAGATCTTCCTGGCCTGGGCGATGGGCATAAGCTTCTTGACACCACGACGTCGGGCCACGTAATTGCACGTGGCGAGAATCCCCTTTTGCTTGATGCCGAGGGGCAAAGCTCGGAGGGACGGCTGTCGATTCTCGACACACTGCGCATAGAAGCAGTCCAGGTCCTAGGAAGAAAGCAGAAAGATCGCCGTGTCAGACGGAGATATTCCAGTCGAGGTCGGGCGGGTCAAGAAGCTGGGGAAGAGGAAATGAGGAAATGAGGGAGGCTGTACAAAATGGAGCAGAACCCGGTCGTCGCGCCGCCGTGGCGCCTTCTTGATGGACGAGGGATCCATTTACTGCTGTGCTGCGGTCAAATGCTAGGTAAGGGGACGCGTCAACGTGTCATCCAGGGCATCGCCGGGCCAATTTTGGTGTTTTGTTTACCGGCACATCATCTAGGATTTCCCCTGCGGAGTGGTGTTGGGACGATCCCAAAGTTGTCAATTGAAGATGCCGGTCAATCCAGTCGATCCAGTCAATCGAGTTGTTGAATTTCTCATCTATTTTTAGGGCGACCGAACTCTTCAAGTGGAAACATGTCTGTGCGTGACTCGGATAGCGCCGTCTTAGCGTGCCCTGGCATGTGTTCACCAAGAACTGTTCGCAGGGATTGAGGGGCAACAACGCAACGCAACGTGAGGTGTGAGGTGGTGAGTTCTGGAAAACTCGAACCGAACGACTCGCATTCGATAAACTTTTCACTAGGATCGTGCTCCGCAAATGGTGTTTGCTAGTTTTTTAGCATTTATTTGTTTATTCCCTACCTCCCCACAATCCCTCTTTTCTCGTCCCTTCGTCGCATCCCATTGTCCCGTCCCAGCCGGGAACCGTCCAGCACCGGGTTGGCCCCGGTTCCGTAGATCAGTTCGTTTTGACCTATTTTCGTCCCAAAATGTCAAATTTCTCCCCCGGCACAATCCGTGTCCTGTGCAACCCACGTTTTGGTGGCTTTTCTTTCCAGCCGGTCGGATCACGCTGACAATTGCATTCACCGCTCATCATGACCGTGGCCACCACGAGGCCCAGACCACGGTGGTGGCAAAACCCCGGCGGCGAGGTCGGTCGTTATACGGGAGACCTACCTTAATTTGCGTTGCGGTCTGGGGGCGGCTGACCGGCGCTTATGTTGGGACGGTGTTCTCGACAAACAAAGTACATACAAGCAAGTATTGTAGTCAAAAGAAGAAGAAAAAGGGTCAATAAAATCCTTCTAGAACGCCACACCGACGATACAGTAATCCTTCGGCCACACGGTAGCCACCTCGGTTGCCCGGTCTCGCACTCATCGTCCAAAGGACTCGGAAAGCAACACCTCCACTGTCTCGAATGTCGACTTCTCGATCGCGCCTGTTCGCTACTAGCGCGGGAAATGGACGCAAGCCTCCTGCCAAATCGGGGGTTCTAAATTCAACTTGGCGGGATTAGACGCGATGTGACTTTGGCTGCAGGTGGATCTTTTGTTGAATCCTGGCCCCCTCGGATGCTATCATTGGAGAAGCCAGCGCCTGCGCCTGCAAGCTGCAGGAAGTGTGCTGGCCAGTCACCACGACCGCTTCCTTCAGCGACGGACCAACCAGGGTGGCTGAAGCGTCACTCTGCATGGCAAAATGGAGGCCTTTTTCCTTGTCACACCCGGTGACACCCAACCCATCACCCCTGCACTCACTGCACTCGCTGGCTCGAGACTGGCTCGACTGGCTCGACTGGAAACTTTGCTGCAGTTTCCCGCTGACTGACAGCTCCGACAGCGTTAAAAAGGTGTCTCCATACTGTGTGCCAGGATACTGGGGGGCTTGCAGGGAGGCTTTATTGAATTCGTCCGAACTGCCCTGGCACTTGCTCCTTCCTCGCCTGCTTATCCACATGTCCCCCTTCCCCACTCGGTGCGCCCCATGAAATCCGCAGCCGCCGTACCTTCCACACCGTAACTGGCCATCCCAATTTGTGAAGATTCACATTGGGCACTGCCACGTTGAAGATACCATCCTTGCCCCCACTGATCCCTGGAATTTCCAT